TGAAACTGCATTAAGAACAAAACTGCTTCCTCTGAATAGGATAGATTTACATGCCAACTTTGAAAATATGGGAGATTGAGGAGTTCGCAGAGATCTTAGGCAGGAGGTAGGGGACACAAAAGGAAAAGTGCAAAGTCAAAAAAAAAAAGTCAAGCAAATACAAGAGACTTTCAAAATCTGAAAGTGCATTAACATAGAAATAAGAATCCTCATACTTTTGTAAAAAAAAAAAAAAAAAGAAAAAGACATTTTAAAAATGGATCCACTAGAAAGTAATGTTATTGGTAGGTAGCCACAGAGCATTAATGCTAATACTTTAAATTTTGTACAAAATCCTGGAAGTTGTGCAGGGTATTCTCTCTCCACACCTGAAAAGCTACAGTCAAGGGACCCGGTTGCACTTCTGATCACAGGGACAGCTAGCAAAGTCCTCAGGCTGCGTCAAACATTTACTTTGGACAGGCTTCCAGTCCAGACTAAGCAAAACGGAAGGAGCTGATCAGAAGCAGGGTCCTCTTTCGTGATAACACAGTATACTACTGTGCGTCAAAACAAGTTTATTAGCATTTGAGATTCAACCTCTCCCACATCCATTGCCCCCCTTAACCTGCTCAGCAGAACAAGCTGCTTTCGGGTATGTTTCACTGCTCTGAAATCCATGCTCACCAGGATCATCTCAGGTCAAGGCCAGAGAAAGAAATACATATGCAAAATGGAGACTTAGAAGTAGAACAGCAAATAGAGAGCCAATACCCCATAACGCTTTCATGTACTAGGAAATAAATCTTCATGATTTTGGTAATTTATAGTTTTTGTTGACAACACAACATGTGCATTAGGTTTGTGTAGCAGGGATGTAACCATAAACTATAACACAAGCTGCATGCAAACACAACACATAACAGAAAGACTGCATGGAAAGACATCTGACTTCTCACTCATGACCATGTCCCAGGCCCTATTAGAATAAAATGTAGTTCACAAGGCTCTCAATGGACACAGCTATGTTAAATTATGAGAATCCCATGGCCAAGCTACAACCTTGAGAAGGAATTGCCTTAGCCTTATATCTAAGGCTAAATATAACATCTAAACAATTATATACGACCTTTTAACACAAATGGTAACTTCTTAGACTAGTTCTTTTTATTCCATCACATGTTCCCTCAAACAAGAGCTGCCCAAAAATACTTTGCATGAAAAACGAAATGTTCCCAGTGACAACTCTGATCACGTCATTCTCTGCACATGAACATTAGAAGATGCAACAACAGCAAAACCACTAGTTATTCTTGTAACTTCAAGACTTCATCCTAAATATAGTATGTTTTCAAATTGTTCTTCCTAAAATTCAAATAGTATGTTCATCGCTTGAACCAAAAGCTAGCAAAGTACAATTTGTATTGTGCTGCAGGCCATGAAGTGGATGTTCTTTATTTGAAGCACGGATGGGTGAAGATGAAAAGTACTTTTGGAAAATTTACAATGGTTCTGACACAACTGTGTGTTCCTCATTACAAGTTATCCCTATCTATTTATTAGGCTTTCTCCAGACCTTTTGCTACTTTCAAAAAGATTATTTGCATCAATTTTTCGTATCTAAGTACTTAACCATAGGGAATTGCATAGAACACAAGCAAAAGCCCCTGCTGCAGCAGTAAGGACTGCGGTGGCTGCTGCATCAGGACTGGGGAGAGGCTGTGATCTACTAGTGACATTTGGTAGCAAATTTTGTCTTCAGATGCTGTTTTCTTATTGTCTTATTCTAAATAACCATTCTACAATGGCAGAAGGAAGGGAAAATGATCAGGAGCACTCCCTTCTCTTCTCAGTCTTGGACTGATGCACCTCTACCAGGACTGCTTCCAAAACCTTCACAGCAGGTAGCTGCATTTTGCTTATGAATCCTGCAGAATGTTTAATTTCTCTCACCCAAAGCCTCTCCCAAAATTAGTACCTGCCACTGCACATTGCCAATGCATACTAAATGGCTTTAGGACTCAGCACCTTGAACAAGTTAGAATCAGGAACTTTTAGACCAGTTTCTGGAGAGTATCTGGGGGCTTGGGTTTCTCATTAAACAGGTTTTGCATTCTTGCCTATCGCAGTCTCTCTCCCCTGTAACGCTCTGTAAATTTAGACATTGGTTTTACAGTTGGAAGAATAAAGTCTCAATAATGAGGGAAATTACTATTCAAAATCTTTTAAAATTGATTTTCTGAGAAATCTATTAGAAGCGTCAAGACCACCTCTTTATACACAGTCTTACAGGGCAATATGCTGTATGCAGAGATGCAAACGGAGGTCTTCAGCATGAACATTGCTATAACATGTTACTGAAATGCAAACTCTGGTGTTCAGCAAATGTCTCTGGCATCTCACTGTGCAATCTACCCAAAGGAGCCATTAGGGACTGCAAACTTAACCTGTTCCTACAAACATGAACTTTCTTACCCCAAGGGGGTAAGGAAAAACCACTACTGATTCTGGAGCTGCGCAGATGAAGTTCAGATGAAGAGGCCAGCACAGAGGTGGAAGAGCAGATGGTCTATCATCATGTGCAATGACACTGGCAGAAGAAGGAACAGGTGAGTCTTGACCTTTCTGCAAGCTGTGCAGGCTCAAACATGCAGGTAAGGCAACCCCAGGTGTAAGCGACTGCTGCATTTTCAAAGAGCTCACATTTGATATATTAAGACTGACGTCCCTGGTGCTACTAAGCTTTTCTTTCTTTCCTTCTTTCTTCAAATACTGCTGCTTCCTGTAGGGATAATGAAAGAACCTTTCAAGTCAAGTGATTTTTCAGAGGAGTGGAAGAAACACCTGGAGACCTTGCAACATGTGCTGGACACTGATACCAGGGCAGAAAGCCATCTACACTGCAACACCCTGAATATCAGTGATCTTAAACAAGACGTCCAAGTTTAGGATGTATGATTAAAAGTCCCAGAACTAGAAACACCATGTAGAAACCCAGAGCCATTTAGCTTTAAATTGCACAGGAATTACTAGCGAGTTCACTTGTGAGATGTCATTATCCTTACGGAAATGCATCTAGCTGAATTACAAAGCCAGCACGGGTTTTGCTGGCAGCTCTCAGCACTCCCTAAGTATTCCCTTGTGTGTTAGCAATACATACACTCTAAAACGCTGTTGATAAAACCTTTCTCTAACAGTATCCCAGTAATTCTAACAATTCATTTTTCATATATATGTATCCATATGTACAAAGACTTTGTGCATGTATGTGAAAGCTCAGTAAAACAAAGCCAAGATGACATTCACTGCAACACGGGGCTTTTTTTTGAACTACAAAGAAGAATCAAACCAGTACTTCTGTGGATTGGTTTTGCCACTGTTTAAAACAGCTTCTGTACAGTTCATTTGTGAATTAGGCTGAGTAGTAGGTAACTCATCACAAAGTTTTGCAAACACTTACCACTGCTCGCTGCTGATAAAGAAGCTTTCATCCTATAACCACTAAAACTTTTCCACTCAAAGCAAGGTAATCAAGGGCTTAGTCACCACAGATCACAGAATTTTTCAGAGCAGTTTACCAAAAATTCAAAAATATATAATTTTTCAGAGCAAAACATGACATTTTACTTGTAAGATGTTTGTTCTCAGTACTGAGTAACACCTGTTATATACCTGAAGGTGTTCCTTCAGCAAGCCAAATCTCCCCAGCAACTCTGTAAGCACACTGATCAAAACCTGTTTTAAAAAATGAGAACTAAGAAATACACTTGAGGTCTTAATGAATTGACAGCTTCCTCTGATTTCATACAGAACATGTTAGAAGAACACACACTGAAAACCCTGCCCATACATTAAGGCAATTTTTGCACCCAAACAATTTGATAATGTAACATAGTGTATCAAGCCAGTTTTTTCATAAATTATGATCTAAACAGAATACTAGTCAATTCACCAAAAGATATCAACGATAGCCCTTTATTACAAATGATCCAAGTATCCCCCTTGAGGCTATGGCTATCAGAAAGCATTTAGTTAGTTCCCAAGCCAATATTTTTCCTATCTGTTTTATTATGAAACTGTAACACATTTTCAATAACTTTTAGCTTTGCTATACAGAGCAGGAAATAATTTCCCAGAACCCTTTGGAAAATCTGACATGCGAAATGATTCTCTGGTCAACTTGTGTATCGTTAAGCTGAAAAAAACATGCATCGGATCATTTGATCATGGGAGGGAATGGAAAAGTATTGGGACCTTCAGGACAGATGGACGAACTTCAGGTCATATAACATACTACCAAGGCTGCATTTGAAGAAAAATGTGAAAGTTCCTGAAAGCACCCCGGGTGAAAATACTTTGTGTTGCTAAGAAACATCATCCCTGATGATGGATGAATTAAATTCTCTCTGTTAGTAGAGCCAACTCCAGGCATCCCTCACTTATTAGCAGAATGTTTTCTTGTACTGGTAATTTATTTCAGCAGCTACTTACAAACAAAGAGCCCTACCTTCAGTGAAACTGGGACTTCCAAACTTGTACAATTAATACTAGAGAACAGGAGAGATTTTGCATCTTGGACAGAGTTTAATAACAACATTTTCAAAGTCTACTTTTTCAAATGCAGTATGAAAACATCCATAATGCTTAGGAACTTCTTTCAGGATGGTCTGCAATGAAAGATAGTGATCAACTTCCAAAATAACAATTCAAGGAACAGCTACCTCAAAGAATAAAACATCATATATTTCTAAACACTGACCATAAATAATTCAGGTAATCAGATTTTAAACACTACTTTGAGGGAAAAGCCATATTCATTTGTGCTATGATGACACCAATGTGAAAACCAAGCATGAAGGAAATAACGCAAACCACGTGCTTTTCTCATTTGGAACTTGTCTTCATCTTTCATCCAGTTCCTCTTTTAGTGTATTACTTACAGGCTGCTGCTTCTGTGGTACACATTCGTGAACTTCCATTTCTGAAGCATGCATTTTCTGTTGAACTCCCACAGAGCGTACCTGTTTGGGGCTGTGTAAGTGCAGTGCCCTCAGAGAGGCTCCAGCTGGAGCAGGGGAAGGCCACCCTGCTCGCCTCTTCCCCCATGCTGCATGGTGGGGCAGGGGAGCTCTCCTGAAAGGGAAAGAAAAGCAAAAGCACATCTCACCTGGCACAGCCTCCGAGAGCAGGACGCAACAGCAGAGGTGAAGCGAAGCAAGCAGGGAGCCCGACGGAAGCAGGAAGGTCCTCAGATCAGAAAGCAGGCACATGGCTACTGCTCGGAGATGATGGAAAAGGGCAGAATTTTCTTCACATCCCAGAGAGGAATGTGCAGGATTTTACACAGCCCAGAAACCAACTGCAGCTGCTGCTGAGAATAAACTGATGGGCAAAAACACATTTTGCAAAAACACAGTTGGCAGACAGGTGAATAAAATAAATTAATTTTAATTTGATGGCAAGGCTTTTTTATTATTATTGTTTGTTATTCTAGCTTAAGTTCTAATGGAGCTCCCAACTTAGACATCCCCTGTTTTTTGCACCAGAGAGCTCAATTTAAGCAAAAAAGGTGAACAATCCTCTAAAAACCGCTCGCTGGTTCCCATCTCAGCTTCCAGGTCAGGAATTGCCATGTGGTTAGATGGAGAGGCCACGCACTCAGCTAGGCAGGACACAGAGGCAATCACAGAGGGTCTTCTTCCCAAATCCGCCACCACAGCAAGGAGCTGCCGTCAGAGTCAGACAAGGAGTATTTAACAACGATACCAATTTGGCTGCTCTACAGGAGAAGTGCTTCCTGTGAGCCTAATAAGGAAGAGCTTTGCAATCTAAGCAGAGGCATTGGGAAGCCTCGAAGGACGCCTCATCTGCACCACTTCTACTCCTGGAAGCCCGGAAATCCTGCAGCCCTCCTGGACATGGGAACTTTTTGGAAATTTGACTGCAGAGGACAGGATAAACTACTTCTAATCACATCACGTGTGCTGGAACGCTACCATAAAAGCAAAATGCCTGCAGATTATGATCCCAGCAAATCGCAAGGGAAAAAAAAAGGTTTGAAGCAGAGATACCTCCCCCTGCCTTCTCCACACGCTTCACAAGCTAACGCTGCCTTCAAATATTTACATCTGTTTGATCAAAAACTTTTTCTTTTTTTTTTTTTAAATTGTGGATCTAATAGCCACAAAAGATGCATCTCAAGGTACTTAGACACATAGGCATGTACTTATTTATCCAATTCATGACAGGTGATTTTCACACACCCTTCTGAAGACTCATCTGCTGATCCAGGTGTGCAGACCACCACAACCGTTCTTACAGCTTTTTTCTTTTACCTCACTAAACATCCCCTCCCTACACACCTACAGCGACACAATGCCAGTTTCTCCAGCCCCAGTCCATCTAGGACAGAACAGACACGAAGACACCTGAGCAAGAGCCACCCAGGGCCCTGCAGACGATGCAGCAGCTGGGGTACACGGACCCTCAGCCATTCCGTGATCCCATATTCATCAATCAGGTTTGTACCAGGAATTTTACCATAATAAAATAAATAAAAAGCTTATTTTCCCCCTCTTCGTGTTTGCATTGAATAATTTAAAGTCTTCTCTCTTTCTGAGAAATTGTAAGCATTCAAGAGTTTTGTTTTTTTTTTTCCCAGTTGTGAAGGAAAATTGAGTGCACCCTGGGCAGGGCTGCCCTTAAAAAAAAGCAGTCCTATCAGCTAACCAGAGTTTGCTGTGAAACTAATAAATCATTTAAGCTGAGTTCTAGAAAGCAGCATTTCAGTGCAGTATTATTTCATATTTTTGTTACTTAGATGACGATCCATACACTTGCAAAATCTTAGGCCGCAAGCCTCCTGTGGAGCAGTCAGAACTGACACGAGCCGGGCTAAGCAATAAAGCCTCATAACCAAACCTGGGGTTTTAACCCTGAATTAGATGCAAAAAGTGAGAATTTCCTTCAAATTCACATTAGCAGGAGTGTCCTATGCAGGAGATGGTAAGATCACAAAATGGGAACAGCAGTTATGGAACTGTTGCTCAGATCCCACTGCTGCAAAAGCCAGGGCAGGAACACAGAAGCTTAAGTGGTTAGGGGGAAAAAAAAAAATGTTACTTTTGAGGAGGGTTAAACAACATGTTAGGTTACAGAGGGGTCGGTCCTCACCGAGTGTTTTTCAGACGTGGTTAAGGTGAAGGTGTCAGACACGTCGGTGCGTACCTAGCTGGCTTTGTGGCGGGCGCTGTGCACTCACGCACGCGGCGCAGGGCCCCGTGGCTGCCTGACCTCCTGAGGTCTGAGCTTTCTTTTCTAAACACGAAGGCTGGAGGAGTTCAGGCCCCCGCCGGGCAAACCAGCAGGTGACTTGGCTGCTCCTCGGAGCTCCGAGCAGCCTTTTGATAGCTCTTTTTTCTAAGTAGCCAAGGCAGCCCGTGATTGACAATTCCCTATCACATCAAGCATGCTACCTTAAAAATGAAGTACTCAGAAGGATCCACCGGGGAAATAAAGGCAAAGCACTGAGAAGGCAACAGCAACTAAACCTGGAAGTCCTGTCCTCGGAAGGAAACCTCGAACTGCCCAGCTGGGTGAGGATGCTCGTCCCATCAGCATCTAGAAATACACGCAGCTACTTTTGTTTAGAGCATTAATAAAAAGAAGTACTTAATAAAGCGCTGAGGACAGAGAAATAAGGAGGGAAGGCTTGACGTTTCCAAGCATATTTTCACAGCGGTATGAAAGGAAATGAGGTAGAGTCAGAGCTAATTCTCCTTATATAATTTCACAAGGAATGATTAGTTCTGCCCCAACAGTAACAGCTTTCCAGAGGGTCCTGCTTGTCGCAAAGATTGCATGCAGATGCTCCAAGTGTAGCTCCTCCGGTCTCTGCTGACAGCCGACTTAAAAGGACAACATAATCTTCATTTTACTACGGAATGAAATTCACAGCGTGAACAGTGAAGTAATGTCACAGCTACCATGAAGCCGTAGTCGCGTTGGGGGCTGCGACTTTTAGAAGTTTAATCATGAAACAGACTCACGAAAAGCAACGTAGGGAACAGCTCCCTGCTCCAGCAACGTGGTACTTACAGACATCAACGGGCAGCAGTGTCACCTGTGTTCCCACAATGAGAATATGGCACGGAGAAGCATTCATGGCACATGCCCATGCAGATTATTTTGTTTTAAGGCAGGTTTTCAGCATTCCCTGTGCTGAACACACCTCTTGTAAGGCTGGCAGCGAAGCACTGCACATGCATGGGACTGCAGAAGGTGCTGGAAATCTCCAAGGCACCTGGGTGAAATACCAATTACTGGCAATTCATCCCAGTTAGGCCAAAAAAAAAAAAGAGAAAACCCACCTGTAAGAGCCTAAACTCAGCCCAACAGTGCCCACACCACACTGACAGCACTAACACTCTCTGTGCAACCTTGTAATAGGGGTTAGCACCTTCATAAAGCACTGGGGTGTTTTCTATGTAATCCTTGAACAGACACTACTACAAAATGCACATCCCATTCCAAAATTGCCACTACAAATTCCAGTTCAGCTACTGCTACTTCCTTGAAATATATATTGTTTTCAAATATATACAGATAACTATATAGTTTCTCAGGGAGAGAGAGCCTACCTTAATAAATTTAACCATCAACTAAAAACCTACATGACTCGCTGGAACAGCATACCAAATACTAGAAAGACTTCAAATGTGTATATTTTGCACTTCTTAGCATGATCATTTGTTTTACAAAAGACCTACAGATTAAATACAAAGCACACTATTAGTTTTAGGCACAAGAAAGACCAATTTTGTATGCCTTGCCCGAAATAATGACTAATTAGGCCAGCGCTACCCTACAGTCATTTCCATAAATCCTGCCTCCACATTTAAATCACAAGCAAAAAGAAAACTGACTTAATGACAACAAAAGCAGTATTTCCTCTAGAAGTTTTAAGATCAGGAGAAGAAATTGCCCTCTAAGGCCAACAAGATGATACTGTTTATTTGGAGACTTTGAATTCATCTCCAACTTCACAAGGTTTTAAGCAGAAATTTACTGTACTGAACAGCAATCCAGCAGGCAGACAAGGTGAACGGCCAGCATTTCAACTGAGGAATCTCAGAACTGAGAATTTCCCAGGATTACTTACTGTGCAAAGTCTTCCTACAGCATGTTCCTTGCAAACACCTTGAGAATAATTAGAGAATAAGATATGCACTATGTCCAACTAGTTTGATTTATTTTTCTGGAGTTTTTGTATATAAAGTAAGTATCAAGGCAAAAAGATTCACTGGAAATGATGCTGAACATCAGCTGGAATGAGGATCTGTACTTCATTAGAAGATTTTGATTTTTAAGTGACAGAAATTATGGTGCTTCTGGGAAAGCACTTGTTTAACTACACGTACCAGGGAACAGATTTCTAAAAAACACCTTATTTTCACAATGCAACGTGGACACTATTTGTGCTTTATTTACAAAGTTGTGAGTCAGTAAAGAAACCACTAACAGAACCAAGACCTACATCATCCAATAATCCAGAGTAATGTAATTCATAATTTTGAGGCTTATTTTTCCAAACCTGTCCAATTGGAAAGGATAGGAAGAAGATAATGTTTTCTTACAACTGACCTGAGAAGTTGAGCTATTTTCACTGCTCTTTCTCCCAAATATTCTGCCACTAGTCACGTACCACCACCGCTTTACCTTATCACTCCACTCCAAATTTTTGGCATTTATACACATTTATTCTTGTACATCTGCACCAAACTTGGTGATATTCTTCAAGTTCTTCCACACAGACAGTTCAAAACAGTTAAGTTTCTCTTACATGTGTTTTATTAGGCCTTGCAAGGAGAACCACAAGTCTCCATTCTCTGAAGGCGAAACTTCTCTTTGTCTTTTCAGATTGAGAAAAATAACCGAGAGCTACAGCGAGATCTTCATCCTTCATTCCAACACACTTGACCACGGAATCCTGCCAGTGTGAGTAATGCCCATCATGGACCATCAATTCAGTAAATCTTCCATCCCAAAGAGGAATAAAAGACTGCATCATATTAAATCTGAATCCAACTAGTTAGGCGTGAACACAAGGGTTTTTTTCCCCCCCGAATGACAGCTCCTCATAATGATTAGGAAAGGAATCTTGCACTCTGGATGAGTAAATCTAAAGCACAGGCAATTATAAGCTTCATATGCAACCACAAAACGAATGGGATTTTATTCATCAAGACCATGATCACTGAGTTTTCTGTTGTCAAAAGGCATGGTCAACATAACCTTTCTGCAGACCACTGCTGTAACCCTTGGGGGAAAACATTTCCCCCATAGCTGTGGTAGCATCGTGCTTCCAGCACTGAGCTTCATCAACACGGTCACCTGTTGCACAGAACAGCATCTGAAATAATCCTGGAAAAAAGCTGGTAAAACCACAGTGGTGCACTCTTGGATAGACGATACTTAAATATGTTTTCAGATTTAAAATCGATTAAATTCCTTTTTTCTGTTTTCCAGCCTAGCATTCATTCTTTAACAATTCAGGAAAACTAAGGCATGCAGATGCTATTAAATCTAGATGTATCTGAACTACCAGTGACAGAGGTTTTGCTAATCACATTCGTATTAATTTTCACATTTATGGTTAATATGTATAAATATGCACACATCCATATCGAAGTTTCTTTCATAGCATTAGCTTAACTTGAGATTTAAAAGTCTCAACTGTTTGTGTCCTTCCTGTGCCCTATCTCTAAGAAATGACAATTCAGGGGGAGCAAACCAAACCACATTCAGCAGCTGGCCTTGCCTGTTTCCCTCCAAGGCCTGCATTTTGACATTAATTTCACATATTCCTTTGTTAATTTTAGATATTGCTTCACTTCTCACTCAGACATCAAAGAGCTGCACATACCCAAAACACCAGCGACCTGAAGTAATGGCTTCCCTACTTACTGTCATTTATAAATTGAACCGTGATTACTTGCCTACAGCAAACACCGCAGCTCAACAGCAGAGCATCTACACGTGCTCCCATACATATATATGGCCCAGGATTTATGGCAACAGACTGCTTGAAGATGTGGTTCTCAGATTTCGATTTCATATTCTCTGTCTGGTGCTTCACACGTTTATTTTTACTTTCACATCCAACGTGCAGTAGCACAGACAGGTGTGTGTTAAAGCCATACCGTGCCACGCACCCTTCCAGCACCAAGGCAGGCAGCTCTCAGGAGCCACCTCAACCCTTCTGCTGCCCAAAATCCGGAAGATTTTCCTGCTTTACAAACTCAGTAGAGGACATTTCTCACATACAAATGGAGAAAAACCAACCCTGGTAGCTAATGTGCTCCTAAAATACAGCAGACAGCTGCATGGCTTCCTAAGAACCTTGCACATGTATCTACAGTTTGTTCTCCTTTTTTTTTTTTTTTTTTAAACTTGCAGTATTACTAAGTTATCCAACTAATCTGAACTGAACAAGATACCTGCTCCTTCCAAGTTTTCAGATCATTTGGTTCTGTTACTTCTCTCGCTACATAATGGCTCGCGATCAGCCGTATGCATAAACACTCAACAGACCAGACAACATTAAGGCCCCATTATTTATCCCAGTATCACCAGAATCTAACCTCAGAATATTTTCTTGGAGCATTTTCTCACAACAGAACACAACTCTGTTCACACAGGAATAAATGTTTGCATTTAACAGGCGAGCTCCTTCTGAACACATAATTTGGGATCCAACAGAAACAGCACTTCTTGAACTCAATTATTTAACCAGTTGACAACTCAAGTCTTCGGACAAGACCTCCTCTTTGCAACTGAAAGAGATGAGACACGAGAATATTCCACACTAAGTATTTGCTCATCGCCTGCTGCAACAGCAAGGCCTTATCTCCAGGGATCTCCCAAGCTGGACTGTGTTGTATAAACACACACTGACCTTGCGAAGCCAAACAATGCTGTGTACCAGTCTTTTTCTGTTGTTTTTAATAATTTACATTCCAGGTGCATGCAGCAACAGTAAGGAATTTCAAGACAGCAAATGCTGCTAAAGCCATCCCTGCATCAGGAAGAGCTTGGCATGACCACAGCCGTTCAGCTCCTGCAGGCTCCATGAGCCCCAAGTGAAACCAAGTGTACTGGTCAAGGGCTGTTTTGATGGGAGAAATGTCTATCTAGGTATTTTGCCCATGCAGGATTTTGTTCAGGGACTGTAAACCCTCCCAGCTCTGATGGAAGTTACAGAATAACACAAGTCCACGGTGTAGACAGGACCAGAGGCCCGAAGAGCTCAATGTACTTGGCTCTTCTTTTAGCTACGGTCAATGTCTATAACAGCAGCCGCAGAGTGAAGAAAACATTTATAACAAGCTAAAACAGGAACTTTTTTGTTTTCATATTCTCAAATTTTATTGAGCAGAAATGTTTGAGGATCGTTTATTACTTTTACCGGCCACTCTAGAATGGGCCTACAGCCAAGCAGGTCTTTGAAATATGTCTCTATTTTGGTTTTAAAACAACTTTAAGGAAGTTGTATAACTTTTACACTGGAGTCTAAGTGACTGAGCAGCATAAATGACGTGTTCTGGCTGCACCTTAGGTACTCAGGAAGCTCTGAGCGTGACGACACATCAGTGCTAGTTGCAGTTGGTAGTGCAAGGAGATGAGGTGGGTTAGTTAACAGGCACATGGACCTGGGGTCGCAGCCTGCCGACTGACACCACTGTGCAGTGTCTGCAAAGCACATCCGATGCTGAGCCTGCTGAACTCTGCTTTGTGTCGGGTTTAGGCTCTTGGTCACTTCTTACTCACATTACCTCACTCCTTACCTCTTGCTCATTATTTTCTTTGAAACTTTGATGCAATTGTTTTCCCTTTCCGTCCAGCTCACCCCTTCCCAACACTTCCCTAAGACACTGCAATTCAGGAGACGTTTCCTCATATTGCATTAAGACAAGCACAATCTGCCAATAGTTTGTGTCATTCTTGCCTCTCCAGGGCTTTACTGCACTACTTTAAAGGCAATAATTGACAACAGCCCTAAAAACACTACTGAATTACAGTCAAACTGTGTGTCTATCAGCAGAGGGATGAATTTCATACTGTGCCTGTAAAGCACCGATGTCTTGAGCTGGACAGCAGGGCTGTCCCCTGGGCTCTACCATTCCTCTCTACTGGCCAACCGAAACTTAGGCTGGCAAACTGTTCAGAAAGTTTGTAAAGACTGAGCTATAGCAGTAGTGAGAACGATCCTCACCTTTTTCACATGCTGTATGAATATAAATAAAAAAATAAAAGATTTAAAAAGCTGTTCTTAATTGATTTATCTGATCCTGATTCATAGCTTTTAAACTTATGTCAGGAAGTACTCTTCCAATGCATTTTAACTCTGCCTGGACTTCTTAGAAGTGGGGAAAAAAAAAGATGAAGCAAGAAGAATACACTCTACATTAGGTCTTGAAAGCTCCAATTAAAATTCAATATTGTACTTTGTATGGAGGCTCTTTACATGAAAACCCTGTCATGGTTAAGATTTAAGGTTAACCAGGTTAATAGAGTCCAATAAAATAGCTCTATTTAATTATGCCAAACCATTGTTATAAGCCACACTAAAACCCGCTACTCATCTTTACCTGACTATTGTGCTGAACTCTGAATCACGGGAACGGGCATCAAATTCTCAGGAACCAGAAAATCCTACCACAAAGCAAGCCTCTCCTACAGGAGCTGCTCCTCTTTCCAACTCTTGCCCCCTACTTCTTGGAAAAAAAAGGAAGAAAAAAGTGCATGCATTTGCACCTCAAATGGTTTCTTTTCCCCCCAGCCTGCTCCTCCAAGCATCACACAGTCATGTGTTAAAAGATTTGTGCAGACCTGCCAAGTCTCATTGAGCCGAGACACTTTCCCCAAGTTGGGACTCGTTCACAAAGTGCATTTAAGCAGCTCCTCTACTCTGAGGTGTTCCGTCACATGACGTTTTTAAGCCTAAAAGGGGGGAAAAAAAATCCGAAAATCTACACATTTTGCACAACTGAAGCCTTTTTTTCTGCCTCGTTCTGCAAAGCGTGACACCGGGTCAGCGTAGGTCGCCCCTGATGGCTCTCGCTCCGTTTCCCATATTAATGTTTTAATGGCGTTACAGTGACACCGGGATGGAAACCGGGTGCAAGCCTCGCAGCTCGCTCCACACAGGCTCACAAAAACGAGACAGCCCCTTCTCCGCAACCTCATTTTTAAAAGAAAAACCTGTATTTATCGGGAAACGCCGCCAGGAGCGGGGCCGGGACCCCGCCGCCCTGAGGGCCGAGCCCCGCGGCTCCCTCACGGCCCCGGCCCTGGGGGAGGCAGCTGCGGGCGGCCATGTTAGGGCCGCCGGGGAGGCAGCACCCCCGTGCACGGACAGACGGACAGAGAAACACCCAGAAAGACACACAGACAAATACACAGACAGATACACAGACACCCCCCTCCTGCTGCCCCCTCTTCGGAGCCATCTTAGGGCGCCCCCGGCAGCGCCTCCCGCGCGGCCGCGCAGCCATGTCAGGCGGCCCGGCCGCCTCTCCTCCCTCCTTCCCTTCTTCTTCCTCCTTCCCTCCCTCCTTCTCTCCCTCCTTCCTTCCTTCCTTTCCCCCCCGCCGAGCCGGCTCCGGGGCCGGGCCCCCCGCTCCTCCCGCGGCCCCTGCCGGCCCTCTTCCCCCCCCCCCCCCTCCACCCCCGGGCCGAGCGCCCGCCCCGCCGCGCTGACCCCTTCCCTCCCGCCCGCCTCGCTCGGGCGGCCCCGCTGCTTACCCCACCCCGAGGGAGCTCACCTCCTCCTCCTCCTGCTTCCTCCTCCTCCTTTCTCCTCCTCCTCCTCCTCGCTGCCGCCTGGAGACCGCCGGCCCCGCCGCCGTGCCGGCCCCTCCCTCGCAGCAGAGCCGGCCTCCCCCTGCCGCCCGCCGGGCCCCCTCCTTCCTCCGCCGCCATCGCCCCGGGGCAGCCCCGGGTGGATGAGGGGGAGCCGCTCTGAGGGGGGTTAGGGACGGAGCCGCTGTGGTGCTTGGGGGTAACTGCCCCGATCCCCCTTGTCCTGAGGGCCCCCCAGGGGATGGCCGGTCCCCAAAGTGGGCTGCTGGAGCTGGGGGACACGGGGAGAACATGAGGAAATTAATTAGTGGTCACCCGGCCAGCAGCAGGGCTCTTCGGGTGTGTGGATGTGTGAGGGAAACAGCAAGGGTTGTAGCTGAGGGGATTGGAATTGTGCAGTCATTAAGGTTGGGAAAGACTTCCAAAATCAGTCCGGTCCTACCACCTCCCTACCTACCACCAGTGTCACCCACTAAACCGTGTCCCTAAGCACCACATCAAACCTTTCAAAGAGAGGGGAAGACTGCAAGGATGCCCTCATGGCACAAGCACAAGGAACAAACAGAAAATCAGGCACCTTATCAGTTATATATGACTAAAAGCTGTGTTCTTTTCCTTCATAAATCAAGCTTTTCAGGTGCGGTAACTCCGGTGGGATAGCAGGCAGGTGTTGCCGTTACATCCTGTTTTGTAAGCCCTGCGCTCTGGCCAAAGTGAATAACAAGCCTCTCAAGCAAAACTTTTTGGAGGAGGAATGTTTGTCACGCTGAGTCAGTTGAGCATAGTGTTATCTTTGGTATGTAGATGTAAACTTTTTAATAGGAAGTCAAAATGAGTAACATCTAATGGACTGATAAAGCAAAATTTCCAAAGAGTGCAACTGTGAGAAAAGTCAAGAACAGCAGCTTGAGGGATTATATTTTTTCCTACATGTGCTAATCAGTTACTATACGAGTGATGAGAAGGCTGATTTGCATGAGAAATACCCTTGCAATAAGAAGCATTTTGTTTCACAATTTTCTAGGTTCAAAAAGCCTAATAAAGTTACTTTTCAATAGTTTTCCGCTCTCATCCACCTCTGAAATTCTTGATACTATCAAGCTATGGAAAGGCCAAAATACTTTTTTACTTTTTTTTTTTTTAACTAGGCAGAAACTGTAAGATCTGAAAGGCTTTTAATATTTTTCACCCAGATTATAAATATTTTTATAAATAAAAGGCTTCATCTTTCAGCTGGTGTCACACAGAGTGAGAAATGAGGAGAGCTCCAGTCCAGCTGAATGATTTGTCCCCAGCATGTGCTGGAACGCAGACAAACAGGATGTTTTATCCCCAATTTATGGATAGAAAAATTGAGGCGAGGAAGTGGAGGCATTCATTTTTAAAGTGTAGAAGTGCTAATTTGTAAGCAGGCAATTTAGGCTTGATTTTTTTTCCTTTTTTTTTTTTTTTTTTTTTTTTCTAGGAAAAGCACCGTGTATATACAGTTCCCATTGAAATTAAACTTAAGGCACCCAAGCAGAAAGACTTTGGCCATACTCTTTCGGGGTCCCGCAGCCCTAATCCCATGTTCTAATTGGCGAGTAATCTGTGGACAGATATTGTAACAGTTCCTTTAGAATATTTTTCTACTTCTCACTCATTTGCATACTAATGGCATAAAAATAGGCACTTCCTGCCAGTAATTAGTTGGAGCCCAGAATTTAAAGAAAGAAAAAGACCACAGCATTATGGTAGACGGATGGTACTGAGGAAGCTGCAAAAAAGAGTCACTTCTCTTGCGCTCAGAGAGTGCCTTTAATTTAGAGTTCAAGGCTGGCAACTCCGTTACCTCTGTGTGACAGGGATTAACTGTTTGCTTGGCCTAATAACTTTGCCTCTAATGAGCCCCTCAGTAACTTTTTTCAGCGCAAATCACTCTATCTGTCCTACACCCAGTCTTGCTGCTGTAAAGGTTTTTCTTTTTTTTTTTTTTCTTTCCCCTTTTTCCCAGCAAGAATAATGCTCGCAGTGAAGCCTGCTCCATGAGCGCTGCTCCGTGTGAAGCACCACCACTCAGACCAGCATCGCGGCTGCTCCAGGAGTTTTGACCTAATGAGGCACTGTGCAACTCACAGCCGTGCGAAGCCATGTGAAGCTCTGGGTTCAGCTGCTTTAAAATAGGCTGTTAAGCGCTGGAGAGCTTCAGGTATTTATACTGCATTATATATGTGTATAATTTCTCACATGGAGATGACAGACTTGAGTACAGACCAGGTTGGTGATGGATAGACATTTTCACCATATGGTAGCAACATAGGTAGCTTTTCTTTAACGTGTGAGTGTTCTCAGTCAAATATGTAGCGGAAGAGTTTTCTCTTGCAGAAATTTCTCCACGGCTGCTTTACTGGTGGTGTGTCTAGGAAGGTGAAATATGGAAGCGTGGAGTTACCCATCCAACCCTGAGAAACGGCGATAACTTCAATGAGACAGGGAAAGTTTATTTTCCTCCTTCCATTCCCCCAACTTCTCTGGAGATAAATATTATAGATTACATTCTCCAGGGCTATCGAGCTGACACCTTCAGTGAAGAATTAAATAGAGAAACTCTTCCCATGGTATTACTTACAAGAAATTTCAGCGATTACTGTTTGCTGTCTACGATCGGACAATACTGATCTCCAGTGATGCAATTTAAAAGCTCATGAGATGAAGCTACAGTTAATTACATACCTTTAACTTATTTACCTATTTCAATAGCAAGGTAATTACTATTGTATTAATCTTTCTAATATATTGACTGTAACTATTAGTTTCTTTACAGCTGCTGCTCTCAAAGAACTGCAGGATAAACCCAGTGAATGAGGTTTGTACTGCTAAAAGTTATGATCTGCACTGCAGCTGCAAACGTTTGGTCCCCTTGGAGGGATCCAGAATGAAAGCCAGGTAGTCAGGCCCTGTAGGGAATGCATCTCCTCTTTGCCGACATGAAATACTGACCTCAAATTATATCAATGCAATCTTTGCATCAACATAAGTGTGTTCACCCAAGCAGTTGTGAGGGAGTGGCAAAGTCAGAAAACTGGGTGACTCTTTACATGACCTGTGACAGTGCATGAAAGACTGTAATATGGACAGCGACTGCGTCAAGGCTGTGGGAAAGCTCCTTCATCCCTTCCAGATTTACCACGTAGAAGCCTTTTTATAGCTGTTGCTTCTCTGAGCAAGCTACGTTGTGCATCATTGCCTAATGGGTAAAGCACTTTGCAAAGAAGTGGGAGATTTCAGTTGAAAATCATTCTCCACTCGGTGGGAATCAAAATTCTCTCCCTGTCTAGTGACCGGCCATTCTGCCTGGGTCAAGAGGTGGACAAAAGAAGGAAACTTTCACACAGACTGAAGCTGAGCTAGTGAAAATAAGCCTCAATCTACACCACCGTGCTCAGGGCACTCAGGAGGGAGCATGCCTTCGATTTCAGACTCCACTAGAAAAGTCTTTTCCACCTTTCTTACACCTTTTAATTTCGTTTTCCCTGTATCCATCCCACTTTGTTGCTAATCTGAATGTCAAGTGTGTATGAAGCTCTGTATATTACATTGTGCTGAACTAACAAATGAAATTGTGTCACATGCTTCTTATCTTTAAAAGCAAACCTTGCAAAGCTTGTATCCACTCTGCCAACAGAGCTATATTACCAGAAAGTATTTTCTTGAAAACTTTGAGACTCTAGCTTATTAAAACAGATCCTTAGGATGACTGGGTCTATTCCATTAGTAGATTTATAAAGTGTACAGACTGGGTAAACAACAGTGACAGCTTGGGGAAGTGTATGCACCTGTTTATTAAAAAGACGTTAACAAGGGCAAATCTAAAATAAGAACATGTACCACAACCCAATTTTCAGCAAATTTTTATGCATGCCTACACTTAAGGTTACCAATGTTATTGGCAATTTCTCTCTCTCTTTTCTTTCTCAGGAGTACACAGCAACTGATGAGCATGGAGCATCTGTGGCAAAGGAAAAAAACACCGTCTTCAAATTTTGAGGAGCAAACATGACCCTTTCTGTTTCTACTGCTTCCCACCCACATTGAGTTAGTGTGAGAGAAGGAGAAAATTGAGAAAAGCAGAGATTTTCTTTGCATGGGAGGACTGAAGAATGTATTGTTTTCTCAATCACGAGCAAGCCCTTTCATCACCACTTTTGCTCTACATTCTAAGTGACAGAGAGGTTTTTTATATTTTACTTGTATAACTTAGAAGAGGTCATATTTGTAAAAGTCCTTCTGCAGACATGAGTCTTCTCTTTGGGTGTATGCAAATGCTACAGCACACATGCAGTTTGTAATTTGCCGATAGGTATAAGCATATGCAAAATGGAGATTAAATGTGTATATGCAAGTCTGCAAAATTAATCAACCACGAATGTACAGAACTACAAATGCTTTCTGAAATTTGGCTCCAAAAAGATTTATGAATTAGCCTCCTATAGAAGCTTTCACTCATGGATGCCAAATACATTCCATTTTTATTATCAATTAATAATTTATAAGGTTCACATGGCAATATTCACCCAGAATAGCATTTTAAAAATATATCCCAATCTTGTAAGGACCTGTTGGTACTTATGCCTATTCACAATTGCTTTAGTGGTGCTTTTTATGAATATAAGATGCTGCCAGCCTGGAGCCCTTCCAGGATTAGATCTTAATCCCCAAAGATATGTAAGTGCTACCACCTCCTTTTTTCAGACTGAAAACTGGGAGGCGCATGGGTAAATGCATGCAAGTTTTCACATAGTCAATAATGGACGAAGCAATCAAAATAGGCTGCAAACTTGTGAAGTGTATTTAAGAACAGTTAATGTCCCTTCTCGTAGTCCCCTTCGTGTCAGTAGTTGATCTGAATGTTAGCAGCAGACAAACCAAAGCCTGACTGCAAGTCTTGTGTTTCAGTGTATAACCAGATGAGCTAGCAGCGTACATACCAAAACCACATTTGATTCTTTCTGTTATCATAAATTGAAGCAAAAGGTGTTCAAATGATTCTCACAACATAAGAGGAAAAAAAAAAAACCCACAGTGTTTCACTTCAGCATACCTTTCACTAGAGCTGGGTGCAATAGGATGTGATTATTTTCAGAACATTAAAAATATCTGCTACCTTCCTCCCATGCTAGGTAGAATAGTAGTCTGATGTATTTTTGCTTTGTAATTTTTTTAAATGAAAAATTCTGATTTAACCAAACCTCTTCAGAAGGAAGCTGACTGATATTATCTTACTTCCCT